ATCTTATCACTCTACCTATTCAATTTATATGCAGAACATATTATAAGGAAAGCAGACTTGGACATGGAAGAGAGAGGAGTGAAAGTAAGAGGACGAAATGTCAACAATCTGAGATATGCTGATGACACCATAATACTAGCAGAAAACCTCACAGACCTGGAACAACTACTAAAGAAAATCAAAGAAGAAAGTGCAAATGCAGGCTTACTGTTGAACATAAAGAAAACAAAAATAATGATCACAGAGAACTTACACACATTCAGACTAGACAATTAGGAAATAGAAATACAAAGAGTTTTCATATCTGCTATCAAACATTGATCGGAATGGGGACTGCAGCCAGGAAATCAGAAGAAGATTAAGAATGGGGAGGGTGGCTATGAACGAACTAGAAAAAATCCTAAAATGCAAAGCATACAACTCAGCACAAAAGTCAGAGTCATACAAGCCATTGTATTCCCTATTCTTACACCCTTATGTATGGATGTGAGAGCTGGACAGTCAAGAAAGAAGTTAGGAGGAGAATCAATGCATTTGAAATGTGGTGCTGGAGAAGAGTGCTGAGGATTTCATGGACAGCCAAATGGACAAACAAATGGGTCCTAGAGCAGATGAAGCCAGAGATATCCCTAGAAGCAAAGATGACAAGGCTTAGACTGTTGTATTTCGGAGACATCATGAGAAGGTATGAATCAATGGAAAAGACAATAATGTTAGGAAAGGTGGAGGGAAGTAGAAAAAGAGGAAGGCCACATGCTAGATGAATGGACTTTTTTAAAGAGACCACAAATATGAGTTTGCAGGAGCTGGGCAGAGCAGTAGAGGACAGGGGGTACTGGAGATGTCTCATCCATAGAGTTGCTATGGGTCGAGAGTGATGTGAAGGCAGTTAACAACAACAACAACACTCCCCAAATTACAAATCCCGGGATGTCACAGTCACTATAAGAGTGTAGTGTAATATTGCCCACTAACTTTTGCCATCTTAACCATACCCTGATGTTGCTTAGCCACAGATGTCCCAGTTTCTATCTGTAAAATATTGGAGAGTATGCAACAGCATCTTAATCACTGGAACTGCCTCCTTTTTCCATTCTCTCCCCAATGGTAGCAGCCACCATCATCTCTATCAGGGCTTGAAAGCTGCTAGGGCAAGGTTTTGAATGATGCAAAGGACTACAGACTAGGTACCTGTGCTCAGTCCAATAACAAGCATACATGTGCGTTAGATGCACCTACAGCCTTATCACATGACAAAAGAAAGCTGAGATGCAGCAAGAGAGAAGTGGCATTCGCCTTGCCTATGCATGCTGTTGAAGCACTTCCATTATCTTCTTGGGCAAGATAATTGTAAAAGCATGTCTTTTGTCATGCTGGAAAAATCCATTTGGCAAATGGCACACTTTTATGACCATCATCTTCTGGAAGGAGAATGGAACTGCTATGCCAGCATGCAGAGAGGCAAGGAGAATGCTGCTTTTCTCTCTCTGCACCTCAGCTTTCTTTTGTCACGAGATAACACTTTTAATTGCTTCTATGTCACTAACCAAACTCTGGGCCACCTCTGATTAAGTTCTAATGATACTTGTATTATATATTTACTTTTATTAAGTATTCTGTTGTGCATTTTTTAAATCATGGCCATCTGCTGCTAGGACAAACCTCCACTTTAGAACAGGTGACTTAATCTTATGACAATATTAGAAATCTCTGGATAATGCCTATATACAAACATACACACAAACTAGGTTGGGATCTGAAGAAGAAACAATAACTAATGATGGAGATTTTCCATTTGGAACACTAGGGATAAGTTACCCATGTAAATGGCTACCCATGTAAATGGCTATCAGTCCTGGTGGCGCAGTGGTTAATGCCTGTACTGCAGCCACTCACTCATAAACCACAAGGCTGCGAGTTCAATACCAGCCAGGGCTGAGGCTCGACTCAGGCCTGCATCTTTCCGAGGTTGCTAAAATGAGTACCCAGCTGTTGGGGGGCAATCAGCTCACAGTTGTAAACCACTTAGACACTCCATAGAGTGGTATGAAGCGGTATATAAATGAAGCTGCTTCTTTTGCTTTGCTACCATCAGTAGCTTCTTCAATTTATTTTCCTTTTTTTTTTTCAAATTGGAAAAAAAATATGTCCTGTAGCCATGGTGCTATATTTTATATCCTAAACACCTATGTATGTGAGAAAACCCATACATGAGTAAGAATACTGAACAGACTCCACTTTCAAATTTCTCTACAGAAAAGTACATATTCCATTGATCTTTGTATTTAACTATCAGGAGGTAACCTTCAATCTCTTGAAAGATCTCTTCACCAAACAAAGATTCTCAATATATACTTCAACACCTGTCAGATACCAGACAACTGAGTGGAAGAAAGAAGTTCTTGTTTTCTTTTATTTGGTAACAATGTGCCAAATTTTATTAGGCAAAGTAGGCATTAGGCATTTCAAAGGCAAACCAGGAACAGGGGTGATTTTTTTCACACTGTACTGATCCCCTGAGCACACCAGATGGGAATGATGAGGACAGGGAAAATGCTGTTTTCATGCCCACTGGGAACATGAGCTGCATGTTGGTTTTGTGGTATTTGGAAATTCATTATGAGCATGATTGGCTTCTGTTTCATAGTTTGGGCAGACAGTCTGACTGTAAGGCCTTTAGGGAGAGGTGTGGTCTTGAATAAGTGCAAATAATATTTCTTTGCTTCATTGGGAGTCTCCATGAACACAAACACAAACTGAAACTACAGGAAGGAACAAACAGTCAACACTCTCCCTCCTTATATACCACAATCCCAATCTAGATCACACACACACACACACACACACACACAGACTCACAAATACACACTATACACATTGTTGAGTATTGGTGAAATAAATATCCTGGTGAAAGGAATATTTATGGAAGAGATATCCTGGTGTTGGGAGTATTAGTAAAAATAATACTATTAATTGCATCTGCATTAATTGGATTTAAAAGTAGCTACTTTTTATTACCCAAAGCTAGGATATGGATCAGAAATTCCTATTGGGAATCTCAACTAGAGTAGACCAATACATAAGTGTTAGCTTATCACTCAGTAATTGATTCAATGAAACTTCTCGCTTTGGGCCTACCAATAGAATTCAGAACACATTAATGGTAATTTGGATTTGAGAGGCTGTAATCTGGAAAAGGGTTGAGTTGACTCTCCACTCAAAATCCTAGGGTCCTGGGATATATTTCTCCATTGCAAGACTCTATAAGAGTTCTGAGTCATTTTTGTATATAATGACATACAGTGACTGAACTGCAGTGCAGTTGTTACACTGAGCCTTTGAAAAGTAACTGTTAATATGTTCCTTCTTTTTAGGCAGAGATTTACCAGAGGGGAGTAGCTCCCACACAGTTTCTATGTGTGAAGGGAAGTGGGTCTTAGCCTAGCACAGTGGGGCTGGGATCATTGATTAAGAACTCTGGCTCTGAAAGCAATATAAACAGTCATTAACAGCCTAGTCAGCTGTCTTGCTGCATCAGCAAACCATTGCTTAGGATAGGGTATTCTAACTTCTTCACCAAACTGGCATCATCCAACACAATGCCATTCCAGCATTAGACCAATGTAAACGTTTACATCAGGGTGCTCAAATAAGCAGAATCTTTTAAACTCCACAAATCACAAAGTTCTAAGCCATGAAATGAGGCCAAATTGGAAAGGAGAGCAAAATATATTGGAAATCAGTTCACTAATAGAAAAGGCTGTGAAAAGATGACCTTCTCAAGGTGAGCATTTCTGCTGGATGCTACCAATAAAAATTACTAACTAGAACTATTACAAAAGCTGGGGGGGTAAAAATGGCCAAAGGAAAAGAAAATGACAGGAAATGCATGCAGAACAACAACAAAATGCCAAAACAAAAACAGAAAATCAGTGCAGAGTAGTCACTAATATCACCATTATTATTTAACATAAATTCTGTGCCAATCTCTCCTGCCCAGAGGTCTTGCAGCCTTCATTACATGGACGAAGATAAGTGAAGAGGTCAAGGAGTAAGCAATGTGACATTAAGATAGTTCTGCTGGGTCAGAAGAAAGGAAATCCAAGTATTAATGAGGTTAGGAAATTCTAGGAAAGTTGAAGATGGCAAAGTCTCAAGAAAAGGTATGAAGGAGTTGCATATTAAATGTGTGTATGTGTCTTCAAGTCTCTTGTCGACTTAAGATGACCCCACAAATTTCATAGGATTTTCTTAGGCAAGGAATACTCAAAGGTGGTTTTGCCAGTTCCTTCCTCTGAAATACATATTCACGTATGTATATTCACATGGCTCCATATCCACTGATTCTGCATCCATGGACTGAACCATTCAAAAATATTCACACATACAAAAATTCCCAAAAGCAAACTTGATTTTTTCATTTTATATAAGTGACACCATTTTATTACCCCTCAATATAATCAGACCTGAGCATCCATGGATTTTGGTATCCATGGTGGGTTCTGGAATCAAACCCCAGTGGATACCAAGGGCCCACTGTACAGACAACAGCACCTGGTATTTGTTGATTGTCTCTCATCCAGGTACTAACCAGGGCTGACCCTGCTTAACTACTAAGATAAGATAAATGGACAGATAAAATGAAGTCCAGTTCTTCTCTATTCTAATACCCTCCAACTGTTATGAACAATCCATGTGTCTCTAGAAGCAGATCTTAACTTTTAATAACAAATATGGGCTGGATTGTGAATTCCACCAGTGCCAATGAATTGTTCGCATATCAAGCAGTCACTAAATTTCTGCAGAAATTAAAGAGGTCTCTAAGGTGCTGAGCTTATATGGAAGAATTCAAAAAAATCACTGACACAGAAGCCATATACCTCTACTGAAGAACTGAGCCTCTGGCAGAATTTTGCAAAGCAGAAGCTTGACTTTTTGAAGGGCTACTCTTTGTCCATAAATACAACCTAAGGAGATGTTGCTCTCTAATAGTGGGAAATGGTGTGGCATAGTGGTTTGAGCAGTGGACTACAACTCTGGAGATCAGGGTTCAATTCCCAGCTTGGCCACAAAACTGGCAAGTCACATGCTCTCAGCCTCAGGGGAAGGCAATGGCAAACCTCTGAACAAATGGTGCTAAGAAAACCACATGATAGCTTCGCCTTAGGGTTACTGTAAGTTGGAAAATACTTGAAGGCACACAACAAGTGGGAAATGGAAGTGGGGAGTTAATATTTCAAGGTGGCAGTGAGAACACCTAATGCTTAAATGGCCCAGCACCCTGATATTTAAAGGACTGCCTCGCACTAAATACATCTGCCCAAGGACTAAAGGATGTTGAATCGAGTCCCTCCTTCATGTTCCACCAATGAAGGCAATACATTATGTGGAGATGTGAGAAAGGGCCTTCTTATTGTGATACCAAAATCGTGGCATGCCACTCTCTTAGAGGCCCAACTCATGCCAATGGTAGCTTTGTTTCAGCACTAAGTTAAAACATGGCTTTTTATTAAAGCCCTTGGGGTCTAATTGTAACTGAAGCATGTGAGGCGGCCCACTTTTTGAGAGAAACTGAGCTCTTCCTCCACATTAGCCTCTCCTTACCCACTCCCTGAGGCATATACGATGTGTCGGTTTTCATCTAAAAATCCCTAAATAAATAACTAACTATGGGACTGGATAGAATTCAAACACATAAACCGTGTTACAGCCTGGAAAAGCCAGGGCTGGGGAGTAGGAATAAAAGAGTAAAAGGTTTTTATAGGAGTAGGAATGATGAATAACAAAATATATGTGTTACTCCTTGTTTCTGTTATTATATTGGATTGTCTTTTCATTAATTTCCTTGTAGTTTAATCTTGTTTTAATGGGATGGGTGGGGAGATACTGGGATGAGGGAATGTTTTTAACTCTGTATGTTTAAAATGCTGTAACCCGCCCCGATTGCTGAGCAGAGAGGCGGGCTATAAATAAAATTTATTATTATTATTATTATTATTATTATTATTATTATTATTATTTATTTTATCCAGTTTCTACATGTATATGGTTTTAACTGTTTTCACCTGTTGCAATTTGTTACCTAGTAAATATATGTTAATACCATAAACTACATTCTGCTGTTTTCCATTTCAGATTGTTTTAAAACAATTTTGTTATATACGACCCTTTGGATGTATTTTAATTATTAAAGAAATTTCAAAGTTAAGGCCATGACCAGCACTTCGCTTCCTCCTTTGCTTGTGGTTCCAAGCTTGCTTAGATGGCCCCTTAGAGGCATGACGCTGAGATATATATGAAGTCTCCAGTATCAACGTGTACATGCCTTTGGCCAAGTTATGTAGTCAACTAGTGGTTGCAGTATCCAGCTGTGCTGTGGCCTTGCTTTGAAATATCACTGATGATCTACCAGAGGAGTCCTGAGTATAATGTTACTTTTGTCCCTGTTTATCTGTGGTTTCTCACCAGCCTAAATGATTGAAGAGATCCTTTCTTTCAAACTTAAAATATTTTTAGTAGTACTTTCTCTTCTCTATGCAGTACTGTGAGATAGGTTGGAGGGAGAAGCACTTGTACTCTGAGAACACCAAAAAAGGATTTAGCAATTGCCACAGAATTTGGTATGGGGGGGGGGGCTGAAGAAGATAAAAAAAACCAGCTGGACACATCAAGTACTACAGGTAGACAATATAAGCAGCTAGACAGGAGGCAGCATGCTGTAGGGGTTTGAGTGTTGAACCAGAACTCTGGAGACCATAGTTTGATTCCCAGCTCAGCCCTGAAACCCACCTGGTGACTTTGGGCAAGTCACGTGCTCTCAGCCTCAAGGGAAGGGAATGGCAAACTTCCCCTGAAGAAATTTTGCCAAGAAAACCCCATGATAGTTTCGCATTAGGGTCACCAAAAGTCAGAAATGACTTACGAAGGTGCACAAGAACAAAGATAGGAGGAAAATCATCTACCTAAGTCCAGTGGCATAGGATGCATGGATATTCTCTGATTGTGATAATGTTACTCCCAACTTCTTTGATCTTCCTCTTGCAAATGGTTAAGCTAGCAGTGCCAGTAGTTCTATTTTAGGAGGGGGTTGCTGTGAGAGGGGATTAAAAAAATCAAGTGTGCTGTTTTAAAGGAACTGTTTTCTTGAAGTAACCAGCCCTAAGTTTGCTTCAGTCTTTATCTTGTTTGGGGAATAAAAGTATCAATAAGAGACAGAGCCCAACAGCCTTTTTCTTATAATGTATGTTGAAATGGTTACAGTTGACATTTTTATTCATTAGGGGAAAAGATCTAGAGGCTCTTGATCTCCATATTTTCCTCCTTGGTTGAAGAGCAGATATAATGGGGTAAGATGGGAAAAGCTCAGCCTTGTCTGCAGTACTTCAGTTCTGAGCTCTTCATTTTAAGGAGGATATAGACAAGTCAGAGCAATTTCAAGGAAGGCTAACAAGGATGATAGCAGATATGGAGAGCAAAACATAAAAGGATAGGTTGAAGGAGTTGGGCTTGTTCAACTTGGTGATGAGAAGACAAAGAGGTGACATGATTGCACTCTTCAAGTATCTAAAGAATCAATTGACTTTATCACACGGGAGCCAAGCATCCTCCTCCCGTCATTAAATCACCATTACATCTCATCAATATCATGCAATAACAGGATAATTTTCACATGATGTCACCATTATCGCATGATTAGCCTGTCAATAAAGTCACAAAATCATGATTATCCCATGAATAAAGTGGCAAAATCGCACCACTTGTTATTCATGTGATTTTCCCATGAATAAAACGTGTCATGATTTTGCCACTTTATTCATGGGATAATGGCATGATAATGGTGATGTCATGCAATGTCATGTGAAAATCATCCTGTTATTGCATGATACTGATGGGATTTAATGGTGATTTAATGATCGGAGGAGGATGCTTGCCTCCTGTATGATAAAGTCCTTTGTCACAGAGAGGTGGGTGCAGGTTTATTTCTCTGTTGCCCCAGAGGGTTGGACCAGGTCTAATGGTTCTAAGTTACAGGAGGGTGGAGTTCAATTGAACATTACAGAAACTTCTTGACAATAAGAGCAATTTAGTAATGGAACCAATTGCCTAGAGAGGTGGTGGGGTTTCTTTTTTCAAAAAAATCTCCAAAATGAGTCTGGCCAGCTACTGCTGGTGATACTCTAGCTCAGGGGTAGACAACCTTTTTGAGCCGGGGGCCGGGTTGCTGCCCCTC